GCCTTAGGCTCGAGCCGGCTGAGGTCGCGGCTTTTCTCCGTCTCCCAACTGCACCCAGTTTGGACTCCGGAGGGGACTCCTGATCCAACCAAGTACCACCCGGGAAATAACCAGGGCCAGCTATATTAGTCATGATCGCAGAGGTGACAAGACCAAATAACAAATAACGATATGGGGACAAAACAAAATAAACAGGACAGGATATCTTACCGATCATCTGTACACTTGGAGCGTGGGGAATCATACGAAGGTTTTCGAAAAGTTTTATCTTGATTCTATCCAAGTATTCGGAAGTATTTTGATTGGCCATGTTGCTAGGGCTGATGTGTAATTTAAAATCAGGACCAAAGTATTCGTAATAGTCATTATAAGGCAGATTATTAGGGATCTCCGTTGCTAAGGCAATCGACGTTTCGTATGTCCAACACCTTGCAACATTTCTTATTGTGTAACCGCCACCTAAATTGAGTTCATTATTGAAATTCAAACGAATAACATACCTCCCAACATAAGAAGAGGAATTGGAAACGAGCGGACGAATTCGACGCACTTTCCATGCCCACGCAGACTAAGATTAAAGCAACCTAGACGATCACCACTCAGGGAATCAGCTCCACATTGAAGGACGACCGCGCCAGGGCGGAATGTCTCCATAACCTAAAGAATAAACCATAAATATAAGCCTTGCCTTGGAGACCACGGGTTTGAAAATGCGCTCATAACATTCGTCATCCATTCCATCTCGGAGAGGACAGTTGACTGCGTAGTATTTTCCCCGACCGGCGCCAATGTCCTTCAGGTCACCCGTTCCAGGGAAGTACTCACCGTACTTATGAAAGCTGACGGTCATCACACGATCAGTTGTGTAGAATGCCTCTTCAACACCATCGCCATGATGAATATCGATATCGATATATAGCACACGTTGATGATACTTGAGGAGTTCCAGGATGCCCATCACGATATCATTGATGTAGCAAAACCCAGAGGCCTCGGATTTTTTCGCAT